AACACAAGGGGTAGCTTGTGATTCTCATTTAATTTTGTTAGATAACAGATGCCGAGTGAAACAGAAACGTCTAAACTTAAATTTATGACCCGCACTCCCTATCCCAAACTTGCGAACACAAGAGGTCTTGACAGATTTAATTACTATAATATTACATTACTATATTATACAACAATTACTTGAAGAGAAATGCTTACTCAGTTGTTGAAAATAAAAAAAATTGCCATAAATGAGGTTTAATATTATTTCAACATAGCTATAATTTTGTTCTTCATTAAAAAGTGGGGAGTGGGCACAGGCATCCTCTTGCCCCCCCCCCCCCATCTGAAAGTGGGGGAGCTAGTGCCCCCGCTGCCCCCCCCCCTCCCCCGAGACTACGCCTATGCAACCTGATATCAATACGAACAGGTTCATTTTTGTGAAGTTTTCTTAAAATTCACAAACAGGAATATTTAATTAAAAACTCAATGAGGATTTTTTTTTCATTTTATACACCGCATATTGATTGCATGTTTTACGCCGAATCGGCAATATTTCAGCCACGTATCGGCGACATATGTATCAGAAATGTATTTCAACAATCATTCACATGCAATGATTAATAAATGCAGGGTAGTGAATATGTACATAAAAATTATAAGAAAGAGATCAACATTAAAACGACCTATCTTCAAAATATTTATTGATAATGTTGTTCATTAAAGTTATTTTCCATAGTTATTTTGCAAAGAATCAAAATTAAATGTAACGTCTTGGTGCAAATCGCACATTAATCGCGGTGTCTTGACAGTTGTTCACATTTTCTCTAATTTGTCCGAACAATTTAATAATTCGTCCGAACGAATTTCTAATTCGTCCGTACAAATAACTAATTTGTCCGAACGAATTTCTAATTTGTCCGAACAAATATCTAATTCGTCCGAACAAATAACTTATTTGTCCGAACGAATATCTAATTCGTCCGAACGAATTTCTAATTTGTCCGAACGAATATTTAATTCGTCCGAACAAATAACTAATTCGTCCGAACGAATATCTAATTTGTCCGAACGAATATCTAATTCGTCCGAACAAATATCTAATTCGTCCGAACAAATAACTAATTTGTCCGAACGAATTTCTAATTTGTCCGAACGAATATCTAATTCGTCCGAACAAATAACTAATTCGTCCGAACGAATATCTAATTCGTCCGAACAAATAACCAATTCGTCCGAACGAATTTCTAATTTGTCCGAACAAATAAAAATATTTTTTTTACCTGGCCCTTCAGCGGCGCCGTACGTAAGATCTATAACACATACCATGATGTTAATTTATAAAATAATATTTTAAATACACCAGTAGTACTTTCATTTAATATCAATCCCTAGAATCATGAAGTAAAATTTGAAGAAAAAAACCTTTAAAAAACGGAATTCATTGTAAAAATACTTTAATTTCATAAGTAAAAGCTTTTATTTACTATAGTAAAATCTTTGAAACAATAGAATTCCATAGCTAACTAATGTTAACTATAATATATCTTTAGAGAATGCCTCTAATCGCTAATATTCAGTGAACATGCTTTCTCAACAAACAATCTATAGTTAACCAATTCAGCATTTATATATATATTTACATAAAACTAATACATGTAACATCATTTTATGTAGTTGTTTGTAGCTTTAGTTATTTGCTCATGACAACAAATTCAACGCTCCAAGCAGAATAAAGCTTTCTAAACAGGCATTTTGTTTATTGAATTTGTCTTTATGAATTGCAAAAGAAATCTTTTACCTACATTTTTAATGGGTAAAATCATCAATCAATAGCATGGATGTATAAATGGAATTAGCGTGGATCATACTGTGAATGAAATGCATGCAGATTTTATAGATTGAAAACAATTCTGAAAAATATTATATCCTGCATCCGAAATCCACTATAGTGATCATATTATCCAGGCACAAGGAATAGGAGAAGGAGGAGCGATTACCCCCTATCCTTTTTTTCAGAATGTATTTTTTTAACAATTTGTAGTTTGAAAATGAAACTCATTTAATCATCCAATCTTTTTTTCAAAACAGTATTATAGTAAAAACGCCTCTCCTACTTGAGCGGAAAAGATGCACAGAACATTCAGGAACATAGAATCAGAGGTGAGGCGGGGTTTTATCCCCTTTCCAAAATCATGAATGTAAAGTTTTAATTTCTCACTTGAAAATGTTCATTGCAAGTCTGGTTGTCCTACTGGAGGGGGTATAAATATGTATTTGCAAAGGTTTAAAATATTTAATCGTGATAGTGTGCCTGTATAGGATGAAACATATAAAAATATACAGCATCGAGGCCTCCTGTCATCCATTTCTATTTTTACTCACTCGTCTGAATAAAACCTTATTAATTCGAACTAATTACGTATTTGTACGCACCGATATTAATTCGTCTGCTACAAATTTTTACTTTTTCCCAACAAATATTTTTTTTTTCTGAAACAACGTATCAATGGGGGCAGTAAAGAAAAAAAAAATATATTCATAATTTTATCTACAGCTTGTGTTTGATCCATTTACATGTACCAACTTTGATTTTCTAGGTTTGCTCCTTTATCAGAGAAATGGAGATTAATTGATTGATTGTTAATTGCTTAAAACTGATTTGTCAATATTTCGGCAGAGAAAAAATGAAGAATTCATAATTTTATCTACAGCTTGTGTTTGATCCATTTACATGTACATGTACCATCTCTGATTTTCTAGGTTTGCTCCTTTATCAGAGAAATGAAGATTAATTGATTGATTGTTAATTGCTTAAAACTGATTTGTCAATATTTCGGCAGAGAGAAATGAAGAATTTTATTACCCCTACGTGCTAAAGATCCAATCTATTCGAAAAAATGCATGAATTATTCGAAGTAAGAACAATTATAATATACAGCATATTTTTCCCTTTCACCTGTTATAAATTTTGTATCACTTTAAAGGGGGTAATTTTTCAATGGGGGTCAATTTTTTATAGAACTAACATATAAAATAATGACCCCCTAGGACTCTTTTTCTACAAAAAATGAATTTTTTCTACGGGTGGGGGGTCATTTTTCGCTGTCGAAAAATGACCCCCGGTCATTATTCGATGGGGGTCATTATTTGTCTTTACACCGGCCGGAACGCGAAATATCTGGAACGTTAATTATGCGACACCGTCCCTCCATTTGGCTGTATTTTTGTCTGTACCACTTTCGCTTCCAAGCGATATCTCGAGAATCCTTTGAGCTTTGTAATTAAATTCTACATGATAACTCCATATGGCCTTAAGAATTCATTCGCCTATTGATTTACGGAATGACTGTCAGGGGCGTAGCCAGGGTATATTTGATGTGGACCCCTGGATAGGCTGGGGTTTGGGGCCGCCATAAGGTCCCCAAAGAGTCCAGGGCGAAGCCCTGGTTGGGGCCCAGGGGGCGAAGCCCGCGAAAGCTGGTGAATTTTCAACGATTTCGATGTGCATGTTTGACCCTTCTAAAAGCATTTTTCTAGCACTTTTTCAGTTTGTTACGCAGCCACATTTAAGGTCTGTTCTTTCCTGGTACAAAAATGAGAAAAGATCTGTCCAAAAGCAAACCCACTAAAACAATTTTAGACTTTTGAAGCTCGACAAAATACGTATGGTAATATACGGTAGTTGGTTAGAGTGGTTGACTGGTGTAGACAGACCACGTAATTGACTGATAGTCAGCTAGGCTTACATTAATATTAAGAATTACTCTCTAAAGATTGAAAATAACAAAGTCAGAAGCATTCTTTTCAACACATTTTCTTGCACATTACCTATGTACATTGTATACATTTTAAAATGAATGTTCATAAATATTCACAAATCTGGTATCTAAAACTTTTTGCAACAATTATAAAAACATGTTAAATATACTACTGATTTTAAGGTAGTGTACAGATGTCAATACTTAGATAGGCCTTATAACTATTTTTTACGAATTTTACCAATTTTTCGATTTTTGATGTTCATATATAAAGCTGAATTATGATTTTTGAAGCCTTGCATGGATCCGATATTAGGATTAGGGGGGGGGGGGGTTACCGTTTCAGAAGTTAAGCATTATGATTGGAAGTCAATTTCCATAAATAGAAATTAAAATTTTTGGCATTGAATAAAATTATCGTTTGTTTTAAGGGAACCGAATGGGGTTTTATTGTGTGACATCTAACAATAGAGAAACTCTTTAAGAATGTAATTACACTTGGAAAAAAATCAGCAATATTCGATAGTAAACCAAAATCCGGGAAAATCTTTTGATTTCAGTGAGGTGTATAATATCGTATTTTCCCCCAAAACTGATTCTGTTGATTTTCATTTTTTTTTTTATCGTTGATTCTTAATATTTCTAAGTATTTTTTTTTTTGAAAATATTTACTAATATTTTGCAAAAAGGGTGGGTACACTTTACAATATTACGCCTGCCTCGCTCTCCTCTCTTTCTTTTTCTTTCTTTTTTTTTTTTTTTTTTGGAAAATGATGTGGACGCTTTTGCGTACAAACGTACGCCTGGCTCCGCGCCTGACTGTCTAGTTAGGAGACTTTACCATGGCATCAACAATAGGAAACATAGGATAATTTGCATAACGGGCGAAGTTATATAACAATACGGCGGGCTGTTCCTGTAATGAATGCAGTTTTACTAGGAATTTATTCATCTGAAATGTAAATAATATAAGTATTCAGCAAAATTGTTAAAAAGTTCTCTGTGAAATGAACTTAGTTTGTACTTGATTAAATTTTCTGAAAAGCTGTTATTTATTTACCCCCCCCCCCTCCCCCCGGGTTCCGACGCCTATGCTTTCAGTGAACCTTCTTATGACAAACCGAGTCCTTATTACATCATTTATTTGTTACGTCATACCCTCTATAACATCACAGTACACTTGACGTCATAAAACGTCACAATAGATTATTCGTATACTTAGCGACATTGTGTGGTGTCTAGCTATTTAACTTTAGCAATGATGGCAAAAGCAAGAGAGGATGTGGTAAGTAAGCTTAATTTTATACCTGAGTTTACTTGTATTATGCACAGAAGTATTAATATATGGGCAAGTGTGCAGACGCTTTCAGGAATTTTATTTTTTCAATTATCGCCGAAATTCGGCCATTTCGGCACAATATAACAGAACTGTGTACATCTTGAAAGTAATGGGGGGGGGGGGGGGCTTCCCCCTTTCTTAACTCTTTACGATTGAAATTGATCGCTGAACGGCTAGTTGTCCCCAGCTTTTGTTGGCGTCATGTCAAGAAAGGCTAATGTTGTGTGAATAAAATTTGATCTACAGCTATTTTGCTTAATGGTTTAATATATTGTTAAATCATTTTTTTTCCTTGTATCCTTTTTTTTCAAAGAACAGTGATATATTCTTATAAGGTTGTCATTCAGCAACCTCTGTTCAAAAACTTTAATGAAATTTAGTGAGACTTACGTCATGCACCACTCTTTCTTTGTCTTTCTATGTTGCTTTTCCTTCCCCAGCATAGTTTTTTAGACGGGGCGGGGGGGGGGGGGGGGGTATGTTTAACGTCCCTCGAGAATTTTTCAATCATATGGAGATGCCTTTTCATTTTTTTCTCTTTAGATTAATACTAATAGGCTTTCTTATTGTGGAAATGAATTTAACCCCCAGATTTTCAACGGTTGTAGCTTTTTAGTATTATACAAAATGTCGAACTTATAATTATTTTATTAAATTATTTAATTTTCTTCTTTTCAGTTAATGGATGATAAATATGTGAAGATGTTCAACAGGGTCCTGAAAGAATTGATGGACGTTATGGCTGTGGTAATTATTTAATCAGCACATAATAATTTTTTTAACTAAGTAATCAATTCATTCATTCATTTATTTATTTTATTTCAGTTTTTGTAAAATTAAAATTCATTATGATATAATATAAAAGAACATTTAACAGTGAAACCTGCCTAATCCAATTCGTGTTTTGAGACCAAAAAAAGTATCGGATTTTAAGAAAAGGGAATGGGGATTAAGAAGGAAAAGTGAAAATTAGACAGGTTTCAGTAGATGTACAGTCAAGTCTCATTCACCAGAATATCTGTGAATGTCTGGATGAAAGGACTATTCAATTAAAAAAAAATGTAACAGTTGTTTTCATAATTTTGCTTGGAAGATGGAATATCTAGATTAATTATCGGTATCCAAATTACCAAGGCTTGACTAAATTCAAAATTTATTGTTGTAGGTGTTCGTATTTCCGCTAAAGAGGAAATAGAATTATACATGTATATGTATAATGTAATGCATATTGCTCATCAATTTAAATTTTTGTGTAATTATTTTTAATGAGATTTTATTTCTATCTGACGCAGCTCAAGGGGCAGCAGATGAACATTTTGTTTAAGGTTTGTAAAAAATAATTGAATTTATCAGAATTTATTAATATTCATTACTTCATCTATGTTTAATTATGACGTAATAAAATAATCTTCGTATAGAGAGCTTGTCTCTCATCTATTGTCGTATTTTTAGAACATTGTATTGGACATTTTTACCCAAGAATTGAACAAGGAAGTGGGAGGCGAAGCTATCAAACCATCCATATACCAAATATTGTTGGTAAGTGTAAATAAAGGCATAAAAAAAAATAAAGGCATGAAAATAATTATGCCCCCGCTCCGAAGGTGAAGGAGTTATACTGTTTTACCCTTGTGTGTCTGTCCGTCTGTCTAGCTAGCTGTTGTCTGTTTTTGTGTTTTGGTCGCAATTAAAATTCGCAGCAATTAACTTACTCATCGCAGAAGTTGATCGACATTTTAGCAAATCTTTGCTGAGGCAAACTAGTAATATGATAGGATTTTTTTTGTTCAAATCCGATGACAACTTCTTGTTTATCCGTGCGTCTGTCCGTACCATACATGAAACATTTTTGTTGCATTTTTTTATAACAACAACTCATTGCAGGTGCTTGAAATTTTAGCACATTTGTTGAGACATGCTTTATATACGATTGGATTTATTTTTGTATGAATCTGATGTCAGATATTGTCAGATTCCTACTTATCCCTGCACCTGCCCATAAATTAACCTGTGCGTATTAACACGATAGTGTATATTCACATTAGAGCAGGGGTGTTACTAGTGAGCATCGGCTCACAGACTTTTTGTTTGTGATTTTTCTAAATAACATGAAATTTTGTTGTGATGATTTACTCTCCATTATTACCCAAAATAAAAGACGAGAGGCATTCAAAATGGAGCTCACAAATATTTAAGTTAAAGCTATATAATAGTAAGTAAAATAAATATACATGCTTTGTTATGATTTATTGTCTATTATTTTCCCAGAAGAAAAGAGGAGAGCCTTTTAATATGGTACCCATATTATTTCAAGAAAAGGTCATAGTAAGTGAAATATTCCTACCAATATTTGGAAATTAAATATTTATACATTGAAGTTAAATAAAAATAATTCAGCAGTGAAATTTATTTTTTACAACTCTGCACACAAGTATTCCCTTTTCTTTCATTTAAAATTTCTTTATAATCTAATCAATTTGTAAATTAATGTTTTTGCTAGTTGCTGCTACAAAACGTGAAAAGAAAATGCAAAGAAGGCCTCAAAAAACACGATGAATTGTGGCGATTCATTAGGAACAAAATGAAGGTAGCTTTTGATCACACTGAAAAAAAGTTAGCAATTGTACCAAACACATATGTAAGTCTTTGAGATAACATTTTTAAAGAGCAATTTTGTCAAATGATCATTACTTACATTTTAAAAAGGAAAATGATTTTTTTTATTATCGTTTTGGCAGGAAGAGAAGTACATTTATGAAAGAAAAGAAGTAAGTTACTCATTTGTTAAAATCTTGACCTTTTTATAAGAAAATATAACAATGAAATGTAACACTAAGAGAGGCACAAAAATTGACATTTTAAAATAATTCCTTAACATATGGAATTGAAAAACCTTGCTTTATTTCAAGACGAGATAGTAAAAAATTGGAAAGATGTATGGCATGATTTTAAAATGATTTAAAAAAAAAACAATTTCTTTCTCATTGTTGGAAGAAGCACATGGAAAAACGCAACCAGGCAGCGCCCATTGTTATACAGCGGGCCTGGAAGAAGCACGTAGACAAACGCAACCAGGCAGCAACCATTGTTATACAGCGGGCCTGGAAGAAGCACATAGACAAACGCAAACAGGCAGCAACCATTGTTATACAGCGGGCCTGGAAGAAGCACATCGACAAACGCAACCAGGCAGCAACCATTGTTATACAGCGGGCCTGGAAGAAGCACATAGACAAACGCAAACAGGCAGCAACCATTGTTATACAGCGGGCCTGGAAGATGCACATTAGAAAACGCAACCAGGCAGCAGCCATTGTTATTCAGTTTGCCTGGAAGAAGCACATGGACAAACGCAACCAGGCAGCAGCCATTGTTATACAACAGGCCTGGAAGAAGCACATGGACAAACGCAACCAGGCAGCAGCCATTGTTATACAACGGGCCTGGAAGAAGCACATGGAAAAACGCAACCAGGCAGCAGCCATTGTTATACAACGGGCCTGGAAGAAGCACATGGAAAAACGCAACCAGGCAGCAACCATTCTGTCGCATTGGAGAAAAGGTTTTAAGACAGGACAGCAGAAGAAAGCAGTCAGAAAGGCTATGGTCAGAAAGTTAGAAACTGATCATAGGTTTCAGATTTTTAAGAAAGTCTCTGAGTTTTGCCAACAGATATATGAAACCAAGTTGCATGGAGGGTCGATCCATGAACAGTGTTTGATCCTCAATAAGGCAGCCTTAATTATGGAGACATGTTTAACCAGTTTTCAGAATAGGTGGCTGATTTTGCGTGAAGAAGAAAGTGCCAGGAGAATTCAGGCATGGTACAAAGGCAAAAAAAGTACATAACGTACACAGAACTTAGACAAACAGCCTTTGCGTGTCAGAAGACTTACAGAGCTTGTAGATTAACACAGTCAGACAGAAGAAAATTTTTAGTCCTTAAAGGAGCAGCTGTGACTATCCAGGCCTTCTATAAAGGTTTTAAAACAAGATCCAGATACCAAAGGATAAAGAAAGCCACATTGCTAATCCAAGCTGGTTCGAGAGGTCTTGTAAAGAGAAGAAAATACAGACGTATGAAGAGAGCCACGAGCACCATACAGAGGGCTTATAGGAACTACTGCCACAACAAACTTGTCAAGGTTAGAAGTTAAACATGTTTTGTTTGATAATAATCAAAATGAACTATAATGAAATAGTTAAAAGAAAATTACTTTAGTAATTAAAACGCATGTTCATTTTTTAATTTACTAAAATGTTTAAAAATGTTGTTGTGGTTATAACATGTATAAGAAATAAGTATTTTGAAACAATAAATAAGTTAATTGTTTGTTACAATATGTAATTTTCCAAGAGACATGTTCATGCCTCAAAACAGATTTAAACAGAGATATTAAGACTTTTTTAAAGTACAATTTCGTTCTTTAATACACATAATTTTGTTTCCCTTTAGTATGAACCATTTCGTGAGCATCTAGATATTTATCTTAGTCTGGATCCGTTTGTGAGGAATAATGCACAAGGCAGACATCTAACAAAAACGGCAGAGAATGAATGTCGAAAACTTCACTGCTCCCTACAAGATATATCCTCACTGTTCCAAGCTGTAGGAAGATTGGCTAAACATTTTATAGGAGAGAAATTCTTACTGCTTCAGGCTCTAGGAAGATTGGCGGAACATTTTATAGGAGAGAAATTCTTACTGCTTCAGGCGCTAGGAAGATTGGCTGAACAATTTATAGGAGAGAGATTCTTACTGATTCAGGCTCTAGAAAGATTGGCTGAACAGTTTATAGGAGAGAGATTCTTACTGCTTCAGGCTCTAGGAAGATTGGCGGAACATTTTGTAGGAGAGAGATTCTTACTGCTTCAGGCGCTAGGAAGATTGGCTGAACAATTTATAGGAGAGAAATTCTTACTGCGTCAGGCTCTAGAAAGATTGGCTGAACATTTTATAGGAGAGAGATTCTTACTGCTTCATGCTCTAGGAAGATTGGCGGAACGTTTTATAGGAGAGAGATTCTTACTGCTTCATGCTCTAGAAAGGTTGGCTGAACAATTTATAGGAGAGAGATTCTTACTGCTTCAGGCTCTAGAAAGATTGGCTGAACATTTTATAGGAGAGAGATTCTTACTGCTTCAGGCTCTAGGAAGATTGGCTGAACAATTTATAGGAGAGAGATTCTTACTGCTTCAGGCTCTAGAAAGATTGGCTGAACATTTTATAGGAGAGAGATTCTTACTGCTTCAGGCTCTAGGAAGATTGTCTGAACATTTTATAGGAGAGAAATTCTTACTGATTAAGGCTCTAGGAAGATTGGCTGAACAATTTATAGGAGAGAGATTCTTACTGCTTCAGGCTCTAGGAAGATTGGCTGAACATTTTATAGGAGAGAAATTCTTACTGCTTCAGGCTCTAGAAAGATTGGCTGAACAGTTTATAGGAGAGAGATTCTTACTGCTTCAGGCTCTAGGAAGATTGGCGGAACATTTTGTAGGAGAGAGATTCTTATTCTTACTGCTTCAGGCGCTAGGAAGATTGGCTGAACAATTTATAGGAGAGAAATTCTTACTGCGTCAGGCTCTAGAAAGATTGGCTGAACATTTTATAGGAGAGAGATTCTTACTGCTTCAGGCTCTAGAAAGATTGGCTGAACATTTTATAGGAGAGAGATTCTTACTGCTTCAGGCTCTAGGAAGACTGGCTGAACATTTTATAGGAGAGAGATTCTTACTGCTTCAGGCTCTAGAAAGATTGGCTGAACATTTTATAGGAGAGAGATTCTTACTGCTTCAGGCTCTAGGAAGATTGGCTGAACATTTTATAGGAGAGAGATTCTTACTGCTTCAGGCTCTAGGAAGATTGGCTGAACATTTTATAGGAGAGAGATTCTTACTGCTTCAGGCTCTAGGAAGATTGGCTGAACATTTTATAGGAGAGAGATTCTTACTGCTTCAGGCTCTAGAAAGATTGGCTGAACATTTTATAGGAGAGAGATTCTTACTGCTTCAGGCTCTAGGAAGATTGGCTGAACATTTTATAGGAGAGAGATTCTTACTGCTTCAGGTTCTAGAAAGGTTGGCTGAACAATTTATAGGAGAGAGATTCTTACTGATTCAGGCTCTAGGAAGATTGGCTGAACATTTTATAGGAGAGAAATTCTTACTGCTTCAGGCTCTAGGAAGATTGGCTGAACAATTTATAGGAGAGAAATTCTTACTGCTTAGGGCTCTAGGAAGATTGGCTGATCAATTTATAGGAGAGAGATCCTTACTGCTTCAGGCTCTAGGAAGATTGGCTGAACATTTTATAGGAGAGAGATTCTTACTGCTTCAGGCTCTAGGAAGATTGGCTGAACATTTTATAGGAGAGAGATTCTTACTGCTTCAGGCTCTAGAAAGATTGGCTGAACATTTTATAGGAGAGAGATCCTTACTGCTTCAGGCTCTAGGAAGATTGTCTGAACATTTTATAGGAGAGAGATTCTTACCAGAACGAATCAATGATGGCACAATGCTCTTAGAAAGGTAAAAATATACAATAGCTGCTGTAAGGCCAAACAAAAATATGTGATTATTGTAAACGTATTACACTTGGCTGTGTATTCTTTATAGCACTGTTTTGGTTAGTTTAACTCTTTGTAAGGATGTTATATTTAAAGCTATGAAAATTACTAGCATGGATGCTGCAATTTTAAATGTTTACATTTAAATAACAGCAGCTTTTTCTTTGATGTTTTAGATCAGTAAAAACAGATGCTTATGTCTCCAAATCACAGCTGTTTAATGTTATATCAACTATACAGAATGTTCTTCATACAGATTTTGTTGGAATGTAAGTAAATATGCTCCAATCAAACTCTATAAATTATAAGGATTGAAAAGTTTTTGAGAATTTTCACTATAACTGCTTGGTTGTTTGTAGTCATGCCCAGGCCATTCCATCAGTGAAGGCTTTCGCTTACTGGTTGTCTCAGTGTTACAGTGAAACACAGAAAGTCAACTTAGACGGGGATAAAATTGTACATGTATCTTTGATATCTACACTTCTGGATTCTATTGTTCCAAAGCTCTCAAAAGAGGTATAAGTTGAGAATATCATATCATTGAAACTTGTAATATTTTTCGCATGTAGTTAGTATAAGTCTTGCTATTTGAATGAAGAAAATAAGTACAGAAATGATTCTTTAGTACAGAAGCAATTAATAATTCTTATTATTCATTTTTTTGGGAGGCCAAAGGTTTTTAATAAGGATTCAGTCAAATTGATGGCAAAGCTTGTTTGTAATAATTACTATATGCATGATTCTATCATCTAAAACAAAAACAACATCTTAAGATCAGGTTCACTTTTCAAAGTATGAGGACAAATAGAAGTGTTTTTATCTGTAGAATTTTCTGTACTTAATTGTTTGATTTATGTTAGATACCAGAGAAGATGGTTCATTCCACTGCTCACGTATTACTGTCAATTACCACCACTGTCAAGCCAAAGTTCCTCTTACATCGGTCCAGTACACAGACCCTGTGTAAACGTGCTAGTCAAGAAGCTTATGATGGACGCACTGTTGAAGTATGCTGTGATAAACACAATGATTGGAATGTAAACAATAGCTATTATTTATCTCCCTCTAATAAAGAAAAACATTTGGACAATTTTTGGACTGTTTTTTTTATAAATGCTTTTAATGAAAATTAGACCAAGTTTCCGTCAATAATTAGATAAAAAATTATATATATATATATTAAAATTTAAAATCTGGTATCTTCTTCCAGGTGCAGGTATACGGAACCTTATCACACAGTCTTATCCTCCCCTGGCCAAACGAGAATGACTTGGATCAGAAATGGGCCAGTAGAGCTGCAGATCACCAGGCGTTCTTTAGACAGCTGGCCAGACATTCCCTACATCTTAAAGACACCAGGACCCTCACAGCAAACAAAGGCTTTCAGGAAGAAGGTGTGGTATTTCAAAATAAATTTTAGTTTGCAAGGAAATGGTTAAAAATTCCATCTAAAGAAGAGACATGTCAAATTTGTTCAATATTCAAGCAACCCATGCTGAGTAGATGAGTAGATTCAAGTTTATTCAAATCAAAGTATCAGGGCTAGGATGGTACCATTATAAGTTGTCAAAGCTTTGCAAAGAAAGAATGACGTCATAAGTACATATACTCCACATAAGGATCTGCGATTTAAATTGCTCACTTTATAAATGCATGTCCATGACTACTTGTATGTATAAACGAGATTTTTTTTTATCCAGCACTATACTTTCAGGTAAATCTGTAATAAAGAGGACTGCGCAGACCTCTAGGAATTGGATTAAGAATGTTGCTAGAGAGGTTGTAAAAAGTGAACAGATCTGTTACCAGTCGTTACAGGGAGTTATAGATGTGACCCCAGCTGTGTTTTCTGTCTACCTACATCAACCAGGTGAGAATTACCTGCCAAAAATTCACATGTCAAAGGTTATTTTTTATTCATGTCTTGTGTAATATTTTTAAACAATTTAAATTTAGATGAGGCCGACTCCTTGATGAGTTTCTTCTTAGCCTTGTTCCAGGAATTTAGGATTCAGATGGGCGTGGTCTTGGCAGAGCAAACTAAACAGACATTTATGACCCTCTGTACACAGTGTGTATCTATATATAAACAAATCATAGCCTAGTTTATATAATCACATCTTCTATTTAGAAATATTTTGTTTTGTGTGTGTGTTTGTGTATATTTTCGCATGTATAGCATCTTTATGTAATTTTATTAGAACGTTTCTTTTAAAATACCCTTTACTTAGTATTGTTCTGAATTTAAGTAAATAAATCTTTCAGAGAGCAGATAGCAGAAAGTAAATGTCATGAAATCACAGCTTCCCACAGAGTTGTAGAGAAGTAATAACATATTTATATGTCGAAGTTTATAGTTTTATAGAAACAAATCACTGAATAAAGCCTCATGTAAGAATTCTTATTTTGCAGGTTGTTTAAGATTTCAGAACTTATTGAACAAGAGCCTGGGTCAGCTTTCAAAGCATTTTTACCAAATGTGATATCGATGTGCATGGATCCGATTTATCCACTAATAACACAGGTAAACTATCTATATAATTGGAGAACAAAAGGAGAAATATTTAATAGACACAAATGTTTTATATTCAGAGGAATCTTTATACTTTTGCTCACATCATGTACGAAGTCCTCATTTGTAATGCATTCCTGTACTAAAGTCTTGTAATTTTTAGATGTCATCGTATCTTTGTCAACAATATTATGTTTCTTTGTTACTATTTAAATTGAAGTTCAAAATTTGACCCTGAAAATAGACAATTTTGGATCATCTAAGTTTTGTACTCTTTTTTTAAAGTAATATGAGTTTATTTTATTTATTCGATGTTTTTTAAAATTTCTTACTATAGCGTCCATTGCCTGACATTAAAGTTAGTCTGTATAGATTAGTCCATGAGTTAATGATGAACAACTGGAGATATTTCTTCAAAGGAAGTGTAATGAAGACAATAAGTGTACAGTACACTCCTCAGAATGGAAACGGAGAGATTCAGAATGGAGATAGAGAGATTCAGATTGGACACAGAGAGATTCCGAATGGAAACGGAGAGATTCAGATTGGACACAGAGAAATTCTGAATGGAAATGGAGAGATTCAGATTGGACACAGAGATATTCCGAATGGAAATGGAAAGATTCAGAATGGACACAGAGAGATCCACAATGGACACGGAGATATTCAGAATGGACATGAAGGGATTCAGAATGGACATAGAGAGATTCAGAGAACAAACGGAGAGATCCAGAATGGACAGGGAGAGATCCAGAATGGACACAGAGAGAAGAGATCAAGAATGGACATGGAGAGATTCAGAGAACAAACGGAGAGATCCAGAATGGACACAGAGAGATCCAGAATGAACACAGAGAGATCCAGAATGGACACAGAGAGGACATAGAGAGATTCAGAGAACAAACGGAAAGATTCAAAATGGACACAGAGAGATCCAGAATGGACACGGAGGGATTCAGAATGGACACGGAGGGATTCAGAATGGACACTTAGGGATCCAGAATGGACACAGAGAGATCCAGAATGGACACAAAGAGATCCAGAATGGACACGGAGGGATTCAGAAAGGACATGGAGGGATCCAGAATGGACACGAAGAGATCCAGAATGGACATGGAGGGATTCAGAATGGACAAGGAGGGTTTCAGAATGGACATGGAGGGATTCAGAATGGACACGGAGAGGTTCAGAATGGACACGGAGAGATTCAGAATGGACATGGAGAGATTCAAAATGGAAATGGAAAGATTCAGATTGCACAGGAGTTTACTGCCATAATGCAGGTAAGGGAATTACAGGCTTCTTCATTTTTAGTTCCACTGGTCAGAGACCAGAAAAACTTATGGGATAGTAAGGTGTCAGTCATCTGTCTGTTTTTTGAAGGGGGTTTGCTGTCGAACAGATCTACCTTGGATATAATAATTTTTCTCGATTAAAGTTTTAATATTTTTCATTGATACACAACAAGATTTCCACTTTTCACAGAAATGGGAAGAAAGGAAAACTAAGTAGTTCTAGCTGATGTCGCCATTTAATTACCTTAACATGGTCATTTTTTGTGAAATATAGACTACATCGTACAAGAACATAGTTGTTTTTATTGTAAATCATGCTGAACAAAATCGAATTCTTAGTCTACTTAATTTGCAATAGCTCTTACCAGATTCTGATGTGCTTCTCGATAGTTGCTCATCAATATTAATTAGAATATTTGGTAGGGACATTGAGTGAAATATTTATATAAACGTCTTTTGAAAATTTTAACTACTGGTATTTAATCTCCTTTCAAGCATTTTGTTGTAATTTTTGTCAGATGGGGGTTTTACGTGTTTTAAAATGTCCCTTAAATTATAATTCTATCATTATTCTATTAACCTGAATAAAACCTGAATGCTCAGTTAAATTTACTGTTTCCGTTTTTGTTTTTAGGAGAAAAAGGAAAAGAAGTTCAAGGTAGATGAAATGAAGAAGCCTAAAAAATTAGGGGTATGTGTTTAAAATATAGATATCTATACTTTGTCAAGCTATAAATGATTAAAAAATTTTAACATCGTCTCATTCGAATTAAAAAAAAAATTGATGACCTTTTTTCCAAATTTTTGACGAATTGTTAAAAAATCTTTGAAAACTTAAGAAAATTTAGAGTTTTTTTTAGGCATAAAAACCCTTCCAAAGGCAAAGAACTGTTGCCATTTTCGTTGTTGTCAGAAATCAAAGTTACAAACTTTCTCTAAGAATTAAGAATTAAAGAAGTTGATATTAATAGAAACTTTCCATTTATAGTATTTCATAAGAAAAAGGGAAGTCTTTTGATATAGTAAACTATATAGTCGTGAGTGCCTGTTTTAGATTGACCATCACATTAATTATTATATTATCATTACAAAACTGGATTAAATTGTTGTGTAATACATGATGCAACCATAGCTAGCCTTAAGATAAATGTTGTTACTCCAAATACGACGTACATGTACCTGATTAGTTTACATAATAGAGAGCATCATTTTGTGCATCTGTAATTTGGGGAAAATATGAGTCGGAATTAAATGCGTTTTGATCATATTCTATCATTTTTCTACCCTTCAGAGAATGGAGATATTTAGAAAATTGATCTTTAGAACATTTAGCTGTGTAAAAAGAATGATGATAATTTCTCGTTTTCAACTTTTCAGAGAATGAGAAGAGTAGCACACTGGTTTAGAAAGACCTTTTTTAGTTGTGGAGGAAAATCCAGTTCCTAAAGTAAGTTAATATCTTTTCTGTGGCTAAATTCTTAATCACTTTTCAAGTCTTTATTTGTTCTCATTCAAAGATTGATGGTTGGATTAATATTGGCATTCAAAATTAGGCTATGCAATGGCTTATTTATAGAATGTAGAATAAGGAATAGGTGAACATGCTCAGGAATTCGTAGAATTTTTTCATTGTTATAGACAAATTGTATATTTTGAAGCTATGTTGATTTTTATTGATAAACGAAAAGCTCATTGACTTCAACAATCCCATTTTACCAGCATTTTCTTGCTTGTTTCCTTCCTCCTCACGTTTCTGTTTAAATTGTTTTTGATACAGTGGTTTTCTTTTTTCTTTTTCAGTTCTGAGAAAGGACGCCAAACCACTTATACTAATAATTATGTGAATTGAGTTTAAAAAAAATTGTAGTTATTATCTGTTTTAATGAATATTTGGGACAGGAGGGGACACCCGAGCTATTTTTAAAAGGTATTTGATTTTTAGGTTTGCTGATAAGTGAAAAGAATGAGTTTCCCCATCTAAAATTGTAAATTCATCTATTAATGATGAAAAGCTCCGTTGTCCTCTCCTGTCTAAATTCTTATCAATTTTTTTCAATGATGTCAAAATTGTATTTAAAGAAAAAATGTTACATGTATCATTATTTAAAAGTTTTGAATAAAAACAATTGAAGTGTTAAACGTTCATATTTTGCTTTTACATGTACTAATTATGTTCCCCAAACGAAGTTGGGGAACATATTGTTTTTACTCTGTTTCTTATTATTATTATTATTATTATTATTATTCTTTTTTCTTCTTATTTCTTCTCCATACTTTTTTTCCGGAAGTGTTCTCAGAAACTGTTCACCAAACTAAGTTAAAACCTTTTTAGGGTTAGTAGGCATGTTGTGTAGATGTGCCGAATGAAGGTCATTTTGCGCGCATACGCATGCACGTGCGGGCGCGTGCAATGAGTAAAATGACTGATATATTTAATATGGTTGTAACTTTTATATTTTTTGATGAAATGTTTTGAAACTCATTATATAAAGATATATAAGTTGTGTAGATAAGATGACATGGTCAAATTTGCATGAGCTCACGCGCATGCACGTGCGCTTTGCTCTGATTGGCTGAAACAGAAATCTTTATATCTTTTTTGTTTTATGATGAAATGCTTTGAAATTTATAACATAGACATGCATTAGGATGTACTACAACTTGATATATAAAATTTTTCATGAAATCACGTGCATGCACGTGCGCTGCAATCTGATTGGCTGAAACTTTAAATGACTATAACTCCCTTGGTTTTCAACCAAACAGCATGGGATTTAGAACATAAATAGACATAAAGGACTCCTACAAGATGGTATGGTCACCATTCACATGCATGCACGTGTGTGCACGTGCACTTTGCTCTGATTGGCTGAAACAAAAATCTCAATTTCTTTTCTGTTTTTTTACAAAATGCTTTGAAATTTTAAACATAGGCATACTCTAAGATGTCCTTCAATATGATATATAATAATTGTCTTGAAAACGCGCGCATGCACGTGCGCTGCAATCTGATTGGCTGAAACTTTAAATGGCTATAACTCCCTATTTTTTCAACAAAACAGGATGGGATTAAGAACATAGACAGACATAATGGACTCCTACAAGTAGGTATGGTCATCATGCACGTGCGTGCACGTGCAATAAGTAAAATAGTGTAGACAAGATGATATCGTCATTACGCTCATGCAATCACATGCGCACGCCTGCATTGCTTAAATTTGAAACACTTGGTATACTTTTGGGAAAACGTTGTTTACGTCTTAAATGCATAGATTTTGCCTTCTTTAATAAAACTTACAGGGAATATGGCACAAAAAGGGAGTTGGGGAGCGTTTGGGGAACATCTGTAACGGTTCCCGTTACAATTAGCACTAGTTAATAATATGTTTTACGGTGTGACCGTTGGGGCGAGCGCAGTTGTACCATCAAAAACACTTGAGATCAGCATAGACCTAAAACAAAGTTTTAGGTCTATGAGATCAGCCACTTCGAACGTCAAGCCGCACGAGATTTCTCGACTATCTGTGACGTCATACGACGTCAAAAAGCTCGTCGGAGCTTACGGAGAAAGCCGAGCGTCTGTTTGAAACTATAGAACTAGTGCAATTTTTGTCGAAAAACATTGCAGAGTTATTTCTTGTTTCTTTGAAAGATTTCTACAAACTGAAAGTCTGATATTATTTATTTATTTATTCGGCAATATTCGCGCAAAGGGCATTGGGTAGTGCAGGAATTCTGGGAATGTTGCACAAAGAAATTTGGCTGACGTATGTACAGATTTCAATCCGAATTCCCTCTGTTCTTACACGTTAGTCTATTGAGCTCGCTTCGCGAGCGTCGCTTCGCGACGCTCGCTGCGCTCGCTATAAAATAATTAGATGATGTCCTGAAAATCTAGCTGGTTTCATATTTATTTGTAGATTCTTCTCAATTGTTTTCTCAGCCATAAGGCTGTTGTTAATACCTGGTTTCATAACACAAAAACGGGTCTATTTGATCCTACAGTAACGATTACCTGGTAGTAATTGATTCAGCCTTTGTCTTTGACAAGGTTCTGACTAGTAGCTGCAATATGTCCTCAGGGATGATGTTTAGAGATGCTTGTCTATTGTAATCCCGTCTATGCATCTCTGTCTATCACAAAATACACAAGTACCTGTGGTCTCAGGGTTGTTTTTTTTTTGAAAGATCAAACTGCATATTTAAATGGTTTTCAGGTTTATATACCCATAATCCTTCGATGAAATGATTCAAATTCAATGCTTTATCATGCTCCTGAAAAATGGTATATGTCTAAGTTAATTAATGATATCTAAAATCTGGGCTATCACTTCCACTTTTATGACACTTCAAACTGTTGATGAAATATATGTGGAGGTAAAGAATAGTATTCGAGCTCAATGTTTATTAGACATTTCAAAATAGGAGTGGAGCAAATATGGACCTCCAACCGCCAGAGTTTGGGATCAGGTACCATGGAGGAGTAAGCTTTCCTTGCGGACCGGTCACAGCCGTTGATATCAAGGCCATCCGAAGCTAGGAGATGTGTGCTATTTCAAATCCCTCTCCCATTGAAAAGTCTAAAAAAAAAATAATGAAATTAAAGTGTTGATCATTCATCAGTATAGAGAAATGCTGTATTCTTTTTTCTATAAAAACTGTTAAAATGCTCCAGCTAAAATTAAGAAAATAGTATCCAGTTATTTTAAATAAATTCTGGCACAAAGGTAAATGTACCCTTCCTATATCCATGCGTTGAAAAAACCTTCTATTTAACCCGCTAATTGTTTGTCGCTCATTTCAGTTTTTAGAAAGCAAATCAAATTATAATGAAATAGCATTTAGAAAATATTTCCGAGAAATTTCTTTTTTCAGTAACTATGGGAACACGGTCATCAAAATCAGAAAAATGTAGTTCTGGTAAGCATTCTTGTACGTTTTCATATGACTGGGTCATTGGATATTATACACCTATTTACTGGCTATGAGGACAATAGCAAGTTTATCGTCCCCCAAGACAGCAAACTATTTCCCGAGGCGGACGATAAACTTGCTATTGTCCGAATAGTCAGTAAATAGGTGTTTTATTAAGGTAAGTCACTCCTGAAATTTGTTATATCAAGGATTTTTTGAAAGTATGTTTTGGATAAGTACTCATAAAGTGTAACTCAAATCGCAAAGAAAATAGGAGGTCAGTGTGCATCCTACTGATCTACGGTACATTTAAGTTGATCTTTTTGCACTTAAATTTCATCTCTTTGGTTAATTACTTTAACCCTTATAATATTTGATTAGATGTAAGCATGGCAATAAATATAATCTTATTTTACGTAAACAAGTTTGAATAATATTTGTCATTAAACAAATCTTGCAAATTAAATGCGCGTAAATTATTGTGTGACCTTTTTGCACTAAAAAATAACATATTTGGGGTATTAAAAAACTTAATAGGCTATAAAAAATTTCTTATATCAAACGTTTTACGACTTGAGTGCTGATCAGTCTCAAGTATCGAGTAGTTTAAAATAATGAAAGAAAAAGGTGGGGTCAGTGAAGTTAATTTTGAAATATTTGTCAAAATATGTGTTTTTCAGGCAAAAATGGTGTAAATTTGACCTTGACTTGTTCAATATATTTTCATTTTTTGGAAAAGTTTGTTGAGGGAAGGTGTAAAACTTAGTCTAAAACTATAAATTAAGACCTATATTAAATATATTTAGCAATATCAAAACGGAAAATATTCTCCGAGTAAAAGTATGTGAGGCTAAAATTCCATTACATTAAATTCTATAAATGTGCAGATTTGCAGAATTTTCAGCTAAATATCCTTCCACCAAAAGAAATAGTCCCTCATAAATCTTGCTTCTTTGTAGATTCTTGAGCAGTTTTTTCATTGAATGTTAAAAAATTTACATTGTTGAATTTAAAAATGTTATAAAAATTGAATTTAAATAAGTAGTTTTGAAGTAAAAGCTTCTGCGTGAACTTTTCTAAAAAGCTGAGGAGTGACTTACCTTAAACCTATGCTGACTTTACTTTTGTTACGTCATAATATATACGTCACAATCCATGTAAAATCAGAAGTTTTCAGAGATGAAAAGCGAGGGAAATCGAATGCTGCCGTTTAATAGTTTAAGGACTATTCACCATGGGCAAATAGCACAAAAACTATTTCACGGTAGAGACTGTTTAGAAAAAATAGCATGTTTATTCGTCTTATTTTTATATAGAAAAAATAAACAGAGGTATAATAAATAATTATATATGCCCTACTTTCAACAGACAAGCATTTATTGCTTGTACTTCCAGTGTTCAGCAACAAAGATCAAGATTGATAGATTGTATGTGTTTTACGTCCCATTCCAGAATATTTCATTCATACAGAGACCTAACCATATACCGGTGAAGGGCATCACATTTTGGTATTTACTCAGCACTCAGGGCTA